CGGCGGATCAACGCGATAGGTGCTGGTCCTGTCGGTGCCAGATGGGGGCAGTTTGGCCCCTAAGCTCGTAAAAGAAAACAACTGCGGCACCCAACCCCACAGTGTCATATGAGCCGGTTATCCGCCGCAGTGTATTCACATTATTTATTTTACAAGAATTAATAAGTAATAATGAAAACAAATCAGCACGTCTTTATTCGACAGATATTTACAATTAGTTGGATAGCATTTTGTCATTCTTTCTCCAGCATACTTTCAGGTTCCTCCATGTGCTGTATGCAGCGTACTCGTCGTGTACGTGTAGTTCCGCCAGTGCTTCCAGGCACGCAGGTCCTGCATCAAGCGCTGGCCCGGGCTGTCCGTGTCCTGTACCTGGCTTGCGCCCATGACGCCGTAATCCGCAGTCAGCTTCCCCTTCGACACGCCCCACGCCAGTAGGCCCTTCATCGCGCTCAGCTGCCACGGGAACGCCGCCACCTCAGAGAAGCTGCCAATGACTCCCACGCCGATGGACTTGTTGTTCCAGGTCTTGGTGTGGGCGCCGACGATGTCCCAGCCCCGTCCCGAGTACACGAGGCCGTCTCCGCCCACCAGAAAGTTGTAGCCGATGTCGGACCAATTGTTCTCCTTCCCCATGTGAAATTCCTGGATTTTGCGAGTCTGCGAAGCATGGGGGATGCCGTGCCGTGACTCACCAGATTTGTTTTGCCATCCCCATCCTCGAGATACTTACCGCACTGATGCACTGCTCCCTTGTTGCGCAGGTGTGCGTCGTGGTTTGCTGCACAATGACGGTGTCTACGGGCGTGGCGAGCGTCGCGACCCTACCGCTCGGCGCGGCGTGCCAGGCGTCGCGGCTGACCAGGCAGTGCTCTTTGGACAGAAGGAATGGCGTAGTGCGCCAACCTCGGCAGCAGGGCGACAACAACCTCCAGAACGGCGCCTACCTTCACTAAACGGCAAGCAGTTCGACCTCTCCGAGAACGGGTCGCCCGCGGTAGGAGGTGTCTGAGGCTGCTCATCGGCGCCGCTCCGCTGGATGGCCAGGATTATGACGCCGGCGAGGAGGGCCGTGATGCCGACGCCCAGGACCAGGCCAACCAGGGCCGCCAGCCAGTGCCGGCAAGGCGCCGGGGCGGCGGGCAGCAGCGTCACGCAGTACGTGAGGTGGGGCAGGCGCGACTCCATGGCTCCGCTCAGCACCGCGCGCTCACGGCGAGTGGCGCGGCGCCCGCGAGGGTGACCGCGAGGGTGACCGCGGCGCGGCCCGCGGGTGAACGGAGATAAGCAGGGTCGGGCGCGTCCACCTTAGGGGGCTGGCAAGAGACGTGCACCAGATGGCGCGGTGCCTCCTATCTACTACATGCTTTTTGTGCTAACTGTTTTATGGCAACGAAGTATACACAGCGTATTTGTGTTATTTTTTGTCCATTTGAACAGCTGGCAGGGAACGTGTTAACACTCTCCTTGCGGGACATTTTTTTTTCTGAGGCGTACTCGCGTACTTCACTGAATAGCGGTGGTCTAGAGTTTTTTTTTTATCTGAGACCCACGGATATTTTACGGTAAACCATATGGCACAACTAGGACATTTTTACGTGGGTCCACCTTCACCACTCTGTTGAATGTTGGGTCTATTTTACCGTCCCCATCCGAGTGGACCATAGCGGCGCTCTCGTCTCTCGGAAGGTCTCCGCTCGGTCTCCGCCAGCTTGGCCGGCCTACGTCGTACAGGCCTCTGGCACCGCCGTGTAGCTGCTACAGTGGCTCCACGTGCGCAAGTCCTGCATGAAGCGCCTGCCGGGGCTGTCCGAGGCTGGCCGGAGCTGGCAGTGGCCCACGACCCGGTAGTCCTCGGTCAGCTTGCCCAGCCGCACCCCCCACTCGAGCAGGCGGAGGAGCGCGTTCTGCAGCGCCGGGGGCGCCGTCACGAACGTGAACCTGCCGATGGCAGCCACGCCGATGGACTCGTTGTTGTGCAGGAGGGTGTGGGCGCCCGCTCCGCCCCAGCCCCGCCCGAGGTACACGAGGCCGTCGCCACCCACCAGGAAGTTGTAGTCGATGTCCGACATGTTCATGCTGTCTAGAGCTAAGTTCTGGCGTTGCCTGACCTGTGGACAGAGGCCGAACTTCATTAACGACACCACGAGAGGAGGGCGACCGGGACGCCAATGGTTTCCAGCGGGGCATGTCCGTTGGTGCTAGCTTCAAGAGTCTTGCCTCTTTAGTGCAGCTCAGTCTGGTCTGGCAGTGCCCGCCGCCGGTGTGCAGCACGATGACGGTCTTCACGGGGCCGGGGAGGGGGTCTATTTCTCCCCTTACTGACCTGGCAAGCCAGCATTCGCGACTTACCAGAAAGTCGACTTTGGGCACAAGATTCAGACAGAGACATGTCAAGAACATCGTAGGTCATAAGTATCATACTCGTGCCAGAGAGCTGCACCGACCTCCAGCCTCTGCTCGCTCCCGTGAACTGCAAGGGAGTTGAAACGCACACGAGTGTGTTGCATTGACCATGAAGTCCCACCAGTGGTCCCAGGTCTGCAGCTCGGGCATGAAGAGCACGCCCGGGCTCGTGTCGTTGAAGTACTCGTACTCGCGCAGCTGACAGGCGCCAGCGAGGCGGTACGCCTTGTCCACCTTGCCGTTGCTGACGCCCCACTGCAGGAGGCTGGCCAGCGCGGCGCGCTGCTGCTCCGTGGGCGACGCGTGGTCGAAGTTCCCGATGAGGGCCAACGACAGAATCTCGGAGTCCCAGTCCGGCAGGGTCGCGCCGACGACGCTCCAGCCGCGGCCCTCGTACACAAGGCCGTCGCCGCCGACGAGGAGGTTGTAAGGGATGTCGTCGTCGTTGCTCAGGGCCTTGAGCTGAAGCCAGTTGACCTGCAACGGGCAAAGACGTGAGCCGGTGCAGCAGAAAGGTCCTCGACGCACAGCTCGCCGACGGTTACCTGCTTGGTGCATTCCGCCCGGTCGGTGCACGCCATTGTAAGGGTGTGGTGCACGACGACGGTCTTCACGGGGAGGAGCAGCTCGTCGCCCGCCCGGACCGTCGTCGCGTTCCACTGCCTCCTCGTCACGAGTCCGGGATATGACTCAGACTCCGGATGCGGCGCCTCTGCGGACGTGTTAAAAGTCACCAGCCAATTATTTCAAGATCATTTCCAGATCGATTCAATTTTTTGATATCAATCTCGGTCTGTTGTCGTCAGATGAATAACACCAGTTCTCACCGAGGATACCAGTGACGGAGGCAAACCGATAAATTGTCACTCCACCACGACGACAACGCACCTGTCTCGGGAGTCGACGCCATCGTGACGGTGAGAACCACCACGGCCAGAGTGGCCAACCCCACCCCAGCCCGTCTGAAGCTAGGTCGCTGCCAAAACCTCACGTGCATCGTGGCTGTAGACAGACCAAGGGCCCTGTAGTCATGCGTGACACCAGAGGTGCGTAACTGTCACCCGTTGTCTAACTTAGGGATCAGACAGAAAGTACGTCCGTCATTCGCTGTTCTGAAAGTGCGCCAAAGTTCAGCCTCAGCCCATGCAAGCTCTCATGGCGCCTGACGAGTAGGCAACATCTTGCCTGCAGTGCATGCGTGTACTGCGGGATTGCATACCCGGCGTCTTGCAGGCGCCGAGCTCCCGTAATTTGCCGAATGAATCTGAGAAAAAAAAACGGACTCATCTTCCGGGCGATCCCTTACTTTTGTTGTCGTCATCAGCCAGTCCAGGGTCGGGCAGTGCGCCAGGGAGCCCGGTGGGCTCGGAGGCGGGGAGGACGAGCGTCACCTCGCCGTAGATGTGGATGTTGTTGCCGATCTGCATGTTCCTGCTGTCCTCCACCGCGATGCTCTCGTAGGAGAGCGGCTGCGCGAGGGACAGCGCCCCCGCCACCCCTCCATTCTGTTCCGCGAGGCAGCCGTGCTGATCCAAAACGACGCCCTCGGCAGTGTCCCCGGAGCGCGCGCCCGCCCTGTCCAGTTCCATGCCGTAGGCGTGCAGATAGCCCACATCCCGGTGCGTTGGACCGCCCTGTAACCGCGGCACCTCCGTCCCGCCTGGAGGCGACCCTCCTGCTATCGCATCGCCTCGCGCGGCCGTCAGCTCCGCCCTACCGCCCTACCGCCCTACCCCGCAGTCGGGCCGCGACTGACGCGAGCACGGCGCGAGCCGCCTGCTAGGCGGGGGCCTGTGCTCGCGAACACTTGGCCACTCATGCAACTTGAACTTATGTACATTTCTAAAGTTGTTTGAGTCTGTGGTTGTTTTGGCACATGAGGAGGAAAATAATACTCTCGGATCCGATTCAGAGCAAGACCGCGACTGAATTTTTTTTTCAAGAGTGCTCAAAATTTATTTTATTTTCATTTTACAATTATGAAATTGTGTCCTTCAAAGAATTATCGCTATAGCTTGGAGTCTGTCTAGAAACTATCAACGGTTTTGATCCTTCTTTGAGACCATCCAGAATATTTCCCGACCCGCTCTACTCGGTGCACGCTTTGGACACGCTGGTCTGGTTTCTCCAGTGCGACCAGGTGCACAGGTCACCCATGAATCGCCTGCCGGGGCTCTTTGTGGCGCGGACCTGGCAGGCGCCTATGATCCCGTAGTCTTTGGTCAGCTTGCCCAGCGACTCGCCCCACTGCAGCAGGCTGTACAGCGCGGTCTGCAGCGCCGGGGGCGCCGTCACGTTCGTGAACGTGCCCAGGATGGCCACGCCCACGGCCTTCTGGTTCCAGCCATGTAAGTGGGCGCCCACGGCGTCCCACCCCCGCCCCTCGTACACCAGGCCGTCGGCGCCCACCAGGAAGTTGTAGCCGATGTCGAAGTAGCGGAAGTTCGGGTCATCCATGTGCTGATTCTGCACCCTCTTAACCTGCGGGGCAAATGCGACTTTCCGTTCCTTGTCTGTGGCCGGAGCGAGCTGGAGCAGAGCCTGCCGCTGCCGCGCCCTATACTACTCTTACCTGCTGTTTGCACTTTGCCTTGGTGGTGCACACTTCGTATGCAGTGTGGTGAATGATGACGAGGTCAACGGGCATGGTCATCCTGCTGGGCGTCCCTCTGGACAACCTGCCGAGCCAGTCGTCCCGGGTCATCAGGTCGACGGCTTTCGGACGGAAATAAGGAGTAAACAAAAAGACAGGTAATTTGATTTCAAGAACAAACCGACTTACCTTTAAAAGTGTGTTGCGTGTCAGGCTCATCCTCGCCGGCCTGCAAGGCGGTGGTGATCGTCAGGACGAGGACGACGACTCCGGCGACCAGGAGCACGACAAGCACGACCAGCAGCACCACGAGCAACCTCCTGGACGCCATCACCGGCATCGTCCTGAAGGAGGTGGCTCCCGGGCGCACCCGCACCCGTCTGGCGCCCAGTGTCGCCGGCGACAGCACGACCTCCCGGCGTGCACCGCCCGGGGAGGCGACGGTGCCCCTGGCCGCGGCCTCCTCGGTCTTGTCCAGCATCTTGGTGTTCCGAACGCCCGGGTCACCGCCGCAGCGGGCGCCTCGGGTCGCGACCCGCTGAGAGCCACGGTCGTCTCGGCCCACTGGAGTGTGGCTCGACAGGTCCGCGCCCCGCATGGTGGTCGCTGTGCTCCACCCTGCACGGTGCACTCGGGGCGAATGAGTTCCCCGGGGGAGGTGCGCATGTCTCATAAGGGGAAGGGAGGTTTCGGCGATAAGGGTGGGGTGGGGGAGGATACAACCCGTCTGGATTAGTGGTTTGCCCTCTGCCAATAATCCAATCTCTGACCCGGTGCTAGGCGAGATAAACGGGCAATGACTTGGCGCTTACGCCATAAATCCAAGACGTCCAGCAGGTTGGCGTCAGCACCCGAGGACCTTGAACGCCTGACGTGCAGCGAATGAAAAATGAATTACAAGGTACAGGAACGATTTGGTCGTATCATGAAGTCCCACCAGTGGTCCCAGGTCTTCAGGTCATCCATGAAGCGGAGCCCCGGGGTGGAGGTGGCGTTGACCTTCAGTTGGCAGGCGCCGGCGATGCGGTACTCCGCGTGGACCTTCTCGTGGTCGAGGCCCCACTGCAGGAGCCTGAGCAGCGAGGCGCGCTGCGGCGGCGTGGGCTCGACGTAGTCGAAGGTGCCGACGAGCGCGAACACCAGGGCCTCCGAGTTCCAGCCATACACGGCTCCGCCGATAAGGCCCCATCCACGGCCCTCGTACACGAGGCCGTCGCCGCCGACGAGAAAATTGTAGGGGATGTCGTCGTTGTCTGTGTCGAAAGCCAGGTCCTGTATAAAAAGTACCTGCCGGGCAAACCAGAGGCAGGGTGCGTTCAGTACGAGTGCAGGAACGTCGTACCCCACCCTGGTTCACGGTAAGAAACGTGGAACCAAAACTGTTATGTTTTGTTTTTAACCATCGGGTGGAGTACAGTACGTCGCTATCTGAAATTTGACGGTTCAAGTAACTTGTGCCGACGACGCCTTTTTTTGCAGTGTGTATCGCACCGTAAAACCGAAGGGTCCGCACGGAACCCTTACTATTTTTGCGCAGTCCGCCCGGCTGTCACACGGTCTGGTAGTTGTGTGGTGCACAATGACGGTCCTCACGGGGAGGGGTAACTCGTCCGGCACTTTTGCATATCGTGGATCCCAGGCGTTCCACTCCCGCCTCGTCACGAGGCCAGGAAACTCCGCCTTCCCGGTCTCTAGGGATATCAAAGAAAAAAAAATAAAAAAAATCAACCCCCAGTCAGACGAAAGACAACTACTCAGCAGAGAAAATGTCAAATAAAAGAAAGTAACTTAATCAAGTGGAACGCACGAAGGGAGGCAATCACGATGGTGACGACCACGACAGCTAGTGCCGCCAATCCTGCCAACGTAAAGTATGGCCTGTACTTTCGCGCGCCCAGCACGGCTGCCAACAGTTCAGGGTACTACTGTAAAGTTATCGTAACAATAAACGCATACAATAAAGTCACTCTCAAAACTAACGTTTCTTCGAACTGTCCTGCGCAGAGTGCAGCGGTCTGTCCTTGTCGGCGTCAGCGGGTTTCTCTCCGAGCTCGTCTCTGATCTTCGCCGATGGCAGGCCGCTAGAGTCGACGGGCAGCACGAGGGTCACCTCGCCGTGGATGTGGATGTTGTTGCCGATCTGGACGTTCCTGCTGCCCTCCACCGAGACGCTCTCGTAGGAGAGCGACTGGGCCAGGGACAGCGTGCCGCTCTGGCCTCCCGAAGCCAACTCCCCGAGGCTGAGCAGGTGGTCATTCCGGCCGGCGACCTCGCGGTCAGGGTTAACGGTCTGGGGCCCGCTGAGGTCCATGGTGACGGAGAGAGACCTCCATCCCGATGTACCTCCCCTACCGCCCGCGCGGACCTACCCCGTTATCGGTGGCGCGAACCAGCTCCGCCCCGCTCCGCAGTCGGACAGCGACTGATGCATATCGCGTACGTGAGGGTGGATAAGGAGAGGACAGGTGGCGCACCTAAAAGTGACTGCTTGGTTTCCAAGCAAAAGTGGTATTTTTCATGAAAAAGTCCGTGGAAATTGCCACATTTGCTTCGAAACCGAACAGTCACTTTTAGCGTGCGTTCCGACCAACCACTTGCAAAGGTTTTTAAGGCAATAAGGGATCCTTACACAGCGTAAGTGGCATGGAAAGGCTCTTTTCCATTCTAGTAGTTAAATTTCCAACCTATGTACTGCAAATCCCTAACCATAGTACATGAAATTTCCCCACTCAGTGGCTGGTAAAATTAGGTACTAAAACAAATTACAGGAGGGAATGAGCGAAAAATCAGGAAAACCGTGTATGATTGCCGATTTGCAAGCATTCGTGAGCGGAGCATTATTGTATTTAAAGATTAAATAACTAAATCAACCCGGCAAAGCTCTTTGGTATTCCCCCTCAGAGTACACTACACCAACTGCACCAGCTGCACCAGCTGCACTCGGCGTATACCGTGCGATAGGGGTCGCACTACAGTGGAGCAATCGGCAGATACATAGAAGAAACGACCTTGCTCCGATTTCCTCATACCGCGTTTATTTTATCACATACACAAACTTTCTCACACATTTCGTAGTTTTCGCCGTCAGTCTTCTGTCGGCCCCTGTCGCGTGAGGCGTGCACTTGGCAACGCCACTGTGCCACTACTTTATGTCTTGACAAGTTTTTCAGGGGAGGACTCTTTATCGCTCTTTATAGACAGTCCTGTGTCTCATAGTCGTGTTTTTCATAAGAACACAGCCGAGCCTCCTGAGCACGCATTTTCCTTGAACATGTAGTCCCACCAGTGGGGCCACGTCCGCAGCTCGTCCATGAATCGACGCCCGGGGCTGTCCGAGGCGTGGAGCTGGCACGCGCCCGCCAGCTTGTAGTCCCTCCGCACCTTGCCCAGCTCCACGCCCCACGCCAGAAACTTCTTCAGCTGGTCCCGCTGCACGTCGGTCGGCGTCTGCCACGTGAAGTTGCCTATGATGCCCACGCCCAGGGACTTGGTGTTCCAGCCCTGGACGTGCGCGCCGACCGCGTCCCAGCCGCGGCCCTCGTAGGTCACGCCGTCGCCACCGATCATGTAGTTGTAGGCGATGTCGTCCCAGCTGCGGTTCACGCTGTCCATGTTGTACGACTGTATCATACTTATCTGGAATTCAGCAGCAATACCTCCTCTCTTATTCAAGTAATTACCAGGCAGGCAGGCAGACAGACAGACAGACAGACAGACAGACAGACAGACAGACAGAGACAGGGTTTTCAGAGCAGAATATCAGACTAAAAGGAGGGGTGAAAGTGCTTTACCCGGTCTATGCATTCTTGTGCGTCGAAGCAGAATTCCGTTCCCGAGTGGTTGATGATAACTATATCAACAGGAGTGCGCAAGATATCGGCCGGTTTTTTGGGGTTTCGTGCATGCCAGAAAGATCTCTTTGCCAGTTTCACCCCGTTTTTCAGTTCGACTGGAAATTACAAGAAAAGCATGTTAGAGGGTAGAATGGTTATTTTCTTTTATCGCCTACTCTTCGTCTTAAGCGGAGAAAGTGTCAGAGCCTTCATCGAACGTACTTATCCCGTCGGCCCTCGGGAGGCTCACAAGCACGACAGTGACCACCAGACCAAGGGCGGCGACGAGCATGGTGACCGGCACAGTCACGCACGGCCAGCGTAGGAACTTCTTCAAGGCACGGTTCGCTGCAGGGTCAAAATAGATCTTCAAAAGTGTGTCTGGTTGAAGATTTAACGTTTTTAGATCAGTTTGCTTTTTTTTTTTTTTTTTTTTGTCATAGAAAATCAAATAAGTATGTTAAACTTGTCAAGTCTTGGGTGAGTATGACGCACAACAGGAAAAGTGGCGCTCGTCAATCGCTACGAAACGACTGTTTACAGCCATGTGGCCCAACCTCTAATCCCAAACCAAAGAGGGGTTTTGATAAGGGGGAAGAGCAGAGTGAGGCTGCTTCTGAAGAGGACAGACTCGTGGTTGGGTAGGCCAGCCGCCGGGCCGCCGAGCACGGGTGCACCGCGGGCCTGCCTACCCCGCCCACCGCAGGCGCGCGGCCCTCAGACAGCCGCGTCCGCGTCCCTCGGGCCCGGCGCGGCAGGCGCGGCCGCCGTCTAGCTGCAGCGGGAGGCGGGTCGGGTCGGCGGCTGATAACGCGACGGCGAAGGAACTGGTGAGTCAGCCGTCCGACTTTGTTGTGGTGAGGGGAATATACTCACTCTCGGCGGCCGGGGTTGTTGGTGCGCTGCCGGTGTTGGTCGGGCCAAGAAGCTGCTCCTGTGAGACGACGTGCTCCAGGGTCCCGGCGCTGAGCACCAGGCCGCCGCCGGGTGACAGGACCGCGGGCATGCTCACGCAGCCGACGTTGTTCGCCTCGTTGGTCACGACCACGGTCACGGGGCCCTTGTAGTTGTTGATGTTGCCGATCTGCGCCGTCGAGTTGACCATCTTGAGCTTGTCCACGTTCACCCCGGGGCCGTCCGCCCCCTGCGTGCCGCCGGCGCCGCTCCAGACCGACTCCAGGCTGGTGCAGTCACTGCTGCCGGGGCTGCTCCAGCCGTCTCCGTCAACATCGCCGTCGTCATCGCCGGTGTGGAGGACGTCATCGAACATGCGGTCTGAGAGCGCCGCTGCCGCAGACGCCGACGCCACCTGGCCTTTCGCGACAAGGACTCCGCCGCCGACGGGCCAAGGGGAGTTGGAGGGGGCGGCGGTGTCGTGGGCCGAGAGCGCCATGGACCCGAACGGCACGCCGGCCGTCACACCGGCTCCATATCGCGTTCACACGCGGAGGAGGAAGAGGGGAAATACGGTAGAGAGAGGTGGCGCTACGTGTTTGGTGGGGGAGAGAGAGGAAGTCCGAGAGAGGTCTCAGCAGGGAGCTCGGAGCACTCGGAAACGAGCCGCTCACATGGCTGCATGTGCGCGGGCGCGGGCGTACCGTCCGGAGGAGTCTCGCGGGCCAGGGAGGCGGCCGCAGCGTCGCGCGTCGCTCGGAGGCGCGGATCCACTGACCGCGCCCGGGGGCCGAAGTCGCGAGCCGTCGCCGTCATAAACTTGTGCCGCACAGGCCGCATGCCGTCGGGCAGTGGCTGTACGTGGTACGGAGGGGGGGGGGAGAAGGAAAGAAGGAG